CTCATCAACAGTACATAGCGGTCTTGTGACTTCAATCAGTGTCCAGGTGAGCACTGGTTAAAGCTTGCAGGAGGAGTTTTCATTCTCCTCTGACTGTCCTATGAGGCTGCATAACCCCTGACTCTCTGTCTGGACAGCACTGATTGGCTCTGTGCTGAACACATGCACTCACCTAAAGAAAGAAAAACTCTCTAGCCATACACACTAAACTGAGCATGTGCAAAGTGACTTCTAGAGCTCTGTACTATCATGGATTGGGGACAGTAGAAGAAGGGACTGATAAAAGAAGACAGGATCAAACAGCCTTTTTACACAATGCAGAGAATTAACCCCTGGGATCCACAGTGAGTAGGACAAGCATGCTTTACTGTAGGTTCACATCTAAGAGTTTTCTGCTGAAAATGTGACCGATTGCAGTGCGATTTGGAAACGCAGGATGAAATGCAGCGATTCTGCCCACGATTAAAAATCGCAAAGTGTAAATACAGCTTTACCCACGATTCACACCTAAGCGTTTTCTGCAGTGTTTTGTGTTTTGTAGAAACGCAGTACAGTCCATTTAACATGATTTCCTATGGGACATGTTCACATCTCTGCGTTTTCACCCGCTGGGTTTTTTGGAAAGAATGAGGGACTTTTTTGAATGCAAAAAGTTGCATTTTTTGGTTTTATAGACTTCAATGGAAAAGATGAAGAAAAGCGTGTATTGCGTTTTTTCTGCGTTTTGCATTTTAAATTTGCTTAGCAACAAGAAAAATGTTAAAAAAGGCAAAAAAAAGGCAAAAAGCATCAAAAACGCGGGTGCAAAAAAACGCAATGCAGAAAAGGCTCAAACGCAACCTGTATAGGTGTGTACCTAGCCTTACTGCATATGCAGACTGATTTTACTGTTGTGGGCTGAGCAACACTTTAATGACACCCCAAACGTAGGTCACTAATGCAGTGCGTTTGCCTGCATCGCATCGCATGGTACAATAGATGCCTGCGATCTGGTTGCTCTGCGTTTTATAAAGTACGGCATGCTCTACTTTTGGTGAAGTCCGGCACAATTTCCTGCACCCAGATCGCACAGGAACGTACAGGAACGCACACATGGTGTGGATCAGCCCTGAGACTCCACGGCAAGGAAGCATCATTCCATTCTCCTGAGTTCAGCTTCAACCAAAGATATTTAAACTCTCTCCACCACCAATCAGACGGCTGGAAAACGCGACTCGAAGTGTCGGTGATACATCTCTAACCTTCCTTCATCCACGCCGGATTTCCATGGTGACACGACGATCTATATGACAAGTAGAATGCAGAGTCACCACACTGACAGTCTATATTTAGTTGTCCTGCACAGCTGGTACCGAGATGAAATCCACAAGGATCAGCCGGAACCAACTTCCATCATTATACATTTAGGGAAATGATCGGATCCCTGAGGATCCAGTGACAGTTATATTGCCGGAGATGGTTCCAATCTGCTCCCATGTAGCAGAATCCATGGAGCCTCCCAGGGGGGGGACACAGTACAGTCGTCCTCCTGGGGGGGGGGGACAGTACAATCATCCTCCTGGGGTGAACACAGTACAATTGTCCTTCCGGGGGGGGGGGGGAAACAGTACAATGACCTCCCGGGGGGGGGGGGCACAGTACAATCGTTCTCCCGGGGGGGAAAGACAATACAAGCGTCCTTCCGTGGGGAGGGGCACAGTACACTCGTCCTCCTGGGGGGGCACAGTACAATCGTCCTCCCAATCATCCTCCTGGGGGGGTGAACACAGTACAATGACCTCCCGGGGGGGGGGAGGGGGCACAGTACAACAATTGTCTTCCCGGGGAGGGGGGGACATATAGTACAATCGTTCTCCCGGGGGGGGGGGACACAGTACAATCGTCCTTCCGCGGGGGGAAGGGGGCACAGTACAATCGTCCTCCCCTGGGGGGAAGGGGGGGGCACAGTACAATCGTCAATCTCCCCGGGGGACACACAAAACAATCATCCTCCTGGGGGGAACACAGTACAATCGTCCTCCTCCTGGGGGGGGGGGACAGTACAATCATCCTCCTGGGGTCAACACAGTACAATCGACCTCCCAGGGGGGGGGGGGGCACAGTACAATCGTCCTCCCTCCTGGGGGGGGGCACAGTACAATCGTCTTCCTGGGAGGACACACAATACAATCATCCTCCTGGGGGGAACACAGTACAATCGTCCTCCCTCCTGGGGGGGGGGGGGGGGCACAGTACAATCGTCTTCCTGGGGGGGGAGGGGACACAGTACAATCATCCTCTGGGGGGAACACAGTACAATCGTCCTCCCTCCTGGGGGGGGGGTCTCATCAATCGTCTTCCTGGGGGGGGGGGGGGGGGACAGTACAATCATCCTCCTGGGGGGAACACAGTACAATCACCCTCCCTGGGGGGACACAGTACAATCGTCCTCCTGGGGGACACACAGTACAATCACCCTCCTGGGGGGGACGCAGTACAATCATCCTCCTGGGGGGGACACAGTACAATCGTCCTCCCGGGGGGGAAACATGGCACAATCGACCTCCCGGGGGGGGGACAGTACAATCGTCTTCCTGGGGGGAACATAGTACAATCGTCCTCCCTCCTAAGGGGGCACAGTACAATCGTCTTCCTGGGGCGGGAGGGGACACAGTACAATCATCCTCCTGGGGGGAACACAGTGCAATCGTCCTCCCTCCTGGGGGGGGGGGTCTCAGATCATTCGTCTTCCTGGGGGGGGGGGGGGGGGGGGGGCAGTACAATCATCCTCCTGGGGGGACACAGTACAATCGTCCTCCTCCTGGGGGGGGGGTCTCAGATCATTCATCTTCCTGGGGGGGGGGGGGGGGGGCAGTACAATCATCCTCTTGGGGGGACACAGTACAATCATCCTCCTGGGGGGGGACGCAGTACAATCATCCTCCTGGGGGGGGGGGGACAGTACAATCGTCCTCCCGGGGGGGGGGCACAGTACAATCGTCTTCCGGGGGGGTACAAATCGGGGGGACACAGTACAATCACCCTCCCTGGGGGGACACAGTACAATCGTCCTCCCTGGGGGGGCACAGCACAATCACCCTCCCTGGGGGGACACAGTGCAATCACCCTCCCTGGGGGGGCACAGCACAATCACCCTCCCTGGGGGGACACAGTGCAATCACCCTCCCTGGGGGGACACAGTACAATCGTCCTCCCTGGGGGGGCACAGCACAATCACCCAATCCCTGGGGGGACACAGTACAATCGTCCTCCCGGGACGATTTAATTCCAAGCTGATGGACACAAGGGAAGCCGGACAACGCTGCGGCAGCAATGATTCACGGAAGGGATAATTCAAGGAAGATCAATCGGGACGACTTTCTGGTGCCATATACGAGGGCAGGAAGTGATCGATCCTGAAGCCTGGAACTGCTGGAACATCATATACAACAATGAAGACCCCACGGCAATGACAGGTCTAGCAGCACGGCCATGTATACTGTCCTGTATGTGAAAGAGTTAATCCAACCAACATAAGACACAGCTGGCCCCTTAACCCCTCCGACCCCCCCCCCCCACAACAACCATAGAGTCTCACTCCTGCTGCTGCAGAAAGGAGTCCCAACCCTGCTTACACTAAAAGTACCTGTAAACCAAATCGCTGAAGCCGTTTCAAGCGTTTTCATTTTAAAAACGTTCGTTTAAGTTTCTAACTGCTGATGGGGTTAAAAGAAAAAAATCGATGTTTGTTTTTTCGACTTTTTTCGAAGTCTAGGTTCACAGCAATGTATTTTCTGCAGTGTTCTGCAGAAAGGCACAGCAGTCCATTTAACATGATTTCCTATGGGACAGGCTCACATCTCTGCGATTTCACCTGGTGCGTTTTTTTTGGAAAGGGTCAGGGGGTTTTTTAAATGCAAAAACACTGCATTTTTTGGTCCTATAGACTTTAATGGAGACGCTGCAGAAAAGCATGTAGTGCGTATTTGATGCGGTTTTTATGCGTTTTGTGTTTAAATCTGCCCAGCAACAAGCTGAAAAAATACAAAAACAAAACACATCAAAAACGCATGTGCAAAAACACAAAAACGCACCACAAAAAGCACTGCAGAAACGGATCAAACGCAAACCGCATAAGGTGTGACCCTAGCCTCAGAAAAATGAATGGGACATTGTTCTCTCAGACGGGAATTTCTAACAGTGTTCACTTCGGTAAAGTCAATTCACTCCAAAATCGAACGTTAAGCGCAAACATTTTGCGATGACATCTATCAAGCCGTGGACTGCGCTCAGAATTTTTGGGTTTTTTTGTTCATAACAATGTTTGTTCGTTCGGAAAAAAGTGTTACTAAACCCACAACAGTAAAATCAGTCTGTGTATGTAGTAAAGCATGCTTGTTATACTCACTGTGGAACCTAAGGGGTTAATCCTCTGCATTGTGTAAAAAGGTTGTTTGATCCTGTCTTCTCTGATCCTCCCCTTCTTCCACTCTCCCCAATCTAACTGCTGATAGAACAGAACCTTGGAGTCACTGCACATGCTCAGTTTGGTGTGCATTGCTAGAGTCTTTTTTTTTATTTGGGAGGAGGGGCATGTGATCAGCACAGGGCCAATCAGTGCTGTCCAGACAGAGGGTCAGGGGTCCAGCAGCCTCATAGGACAGTCAGAGAAGAATGAAATCTCCTCCTACAAGCTTTATGGTATTTATCGGTTTATATTTACTAAAATAATTGCATTTCCATGTTATGTGTACTGTGGGAGACCAGATATAGTGAATGCAGGGTCCGGGGAGACCAGATATAGTGAATGCAGGGTCCTGGGAGACCAGATATAGTGAATGCAGGGTCCGGGGAGACCAGATATAGTGAAATGCAGGGTCCGGGAGACTGGATATAGTGAATGCAGGGTCCAGGGGACCAGATATAGTGAATGCAGGGTCCGGGGAGACCAGATATATATGGATGCAGGGTCCTGGGAGGCCAGATATAGTGAATGCAGGGTCCGGGATATCAGATATAGTGAATGCAGGATCCTGGGAGACCAGATATAGTGAATGCAGGGTTCGGGAGACCAGATATATTGAATGCAGGGTCCTGGGAGACCGGTATAGTGAATGCAGGGTCCGGGGAGACCAAATATAGTGAATGCAGGGTCCGGGGAGGACCGGATATAGTGAATGCAGGGTCCGGGGAGACCAAATATAGTGAATGCAGGGTCCAGGGAGACCGGATATAGTGAATGCAGGGTCCTGGGAGATCGGATATAGTGAATGCAGGGTCCTGGGAGACCGGATATAGTGAATGCAGGGTCCGGGGAGACCAGATATAGTGAATGCAGGGTCCGGGAGACCGATATAGTGAATGCAGGGTCCGGGGAGACCGGATATAGTGAATGCAGGGTCCTGGGGAGACCTGATATAGTGAATGCAGGTCCGGGGAGACCGATATAGTGGGTGCAGGGTCCGGGAGACTGGATATAGTGAATGCAGGGGTCCGGGGAGACCAGATATAGTGAATTCAGGGTCCTGGGAGACCAGATATAGTGATGCAGGGTTCCGGGGAGACCAGATATAGTGAATGCAGGGTCCGGGGAGACCAGATATAGTGAATGCAGGTCCGGAGAGACCAGATTTAGTGGATTGCAGGGTCCGGGGAGACCAGATATAGTGGATTTTAGGGTCCGGGGATACCAGATATAGTGAATGCAGGGTCCGGGAGAGACCAGATATAGTGATGCAGGTCCGGGGATAAGACCAGATATTAAGGAGACCAGGGAGACCAGAGTATAGTGGATGCAGGGTCCGGGGAGACCAGATATAGTGGATGCAGGGTCCGGGAGACCAGATATAGTGGATGCAGGGTCCGGGGAGACCAGATATAGTGAATGCAGGGTCTGGGGAGACCCTAGTGAATGCAGGGTCCCGGGAGACCAGATATAGTGCATGCAGGTCCGGGGAGACCAGATATAGTGAATTGCGGGTCCGGGAGACCAGATATAGTGGAAATGCAGGGTCCTGGGGAGACCAGATATAGTGAATGCAGGGTCCAGGGAGACCAGATATAGTGGATGCAGGGTCCAGGGAGACCAGATATAGTGGATGCAGGGTCCAGGGAGACCAGATATAGTGGAATGCAGGGTCCAGGGAGACCAGATATAGTGAATGCAGGGTCCGGGGAGACCAGATATAGTGGATGCAGGGTCCGGGGAGACAGATATAGTGAATGCAGGGTCCTGGGTTTAGTAACACTTTTAAGGCTTGTGGTGTTCATATGTACCACTTCCCCCCACTCCTGAAAAGCGACGCACAATGGATCACTATTCAGAGGGTGGTAAAACGAGGTTTGCAGACTTTCAGGAGGTGATAATGCTGCTTCCTGATGTTTGCCTTTTTTTAAAAAAGTTGCCGAGCAGAAATTTTGCATTGCCGGAACGCACCACAACTGCAAGCCAAGCGTTTACTTACACGGGAGCGTTTGTTTGACAGGACGGGCTGCCTTTCAAAGTCTGCATGTAGCGTTTGAATTGGCCTGCCAGGATGCAAAGCATCGAAGCTGTATGCACCTCTGGGTGGCACCCTGTCGACTTGCAAATGGGTGGTAAAAAATTCACATTGACTACGTATTTTTACTGCCCCTCCCGCCACCTGTGCCCAAAATCTCAAATATATGTTGGCAGGTTAATGTCATTTCAAAAGCCGTTATCAATCTTTTCAAATCTGCTTCTTATGTTAACAAAACACCTGGTGATCCTGCCATGAAGGTCCCCGCACCTACTGGGTGACAACATTCTTTCCCCGCATCCCACCTGTGCTCTTGTGTTGTCACCCTGTTACATGGCCATTTTAACACGCATGACAGGTGCTGCTGTTACCATCAGAAAGCTGAACTCTGGCAAAACAAAAAGTGGCACTGCAAGGTTAAAACGCTCTCTACATCTATGCTGGGAGACCAGTTCCTGCAGCCTTCTTCTCCCTATGTTCTGGTAGTCCTCTGATGTCATCAAGTCCAATGCAGAGCCCATAGCCCTGCACTGGACATAAGGAAACCAAGGGATAGTCCACTGTAGGAGCATGTGGGGGGGGAGCTGGGGGAGTGGAGGATCAGGTAAGTCAAAAAGCTTTTTTTCCGGTCCCTAGACCTAAACGAACATTTAACCCCTGCAGTGCCAGGGAAGCCCCACTACAAGGAAGGATTTTCATTCTCCATGGAGATGGGATTGATCCTGGGTGCAGACTGATGTGGTGCAGAATTCGCATTGGTTTCTGAGCGAATTCCGCACTGCATCATAATCGCACCCCGTTCGTCATGCGAACCGCTGTGGGTGTGTATGTTAAGTTAGCAACATCCCGAAATCAGTTTGCAAAACACGATGGTGATGTGTAGAATCGGATTGTATGGGTGTGAATACCCATGTGATCCGAATCTAGTGTGGACAAAAAAAAAGGGTCCTGCACCTTTTTGGTGCGGATGCGGTGCGATTTGAGCCATACAAAATGTATGGCTGAAACTGCATCGCACAGAATTCGCATGTGATTTGCACAGGAATGCGGTGCTGTTGTGATCGCATGTGATGTTCCGCACCGCAGAAGTGTGAACCCAGGCTGAAAGCCATCATGCAGCCATCACTGCAGTGGCTGCAGGCAGGACGTGGCTGCAAAGAGGCTGCAGGCGATCAGCAGTTCTGAGATACAACAAGGACAAGGAAAAAGGTGACAACAAATGCTCGAGGCATCTCTCCTTCAAGAAGACTACATTCAGGTGAGTGATTAGCACACTCTGCGATTTCTAGCAGCAAGGATCTGCGGATTTCTGGGGCAGGAATGACAGATATATGTGAATGGCTGTCCATACAAAACAATGACAGGCTGACAGCGGCCGCAGCTGTTGGCTGTGTGAACAGATATGAATAGCTGTCAGCCTGTCATTGTTTGTCTGATATTCGTGACGGGTCACACAGCCAGATATCACCTGTAGAGATCATGGTTGGATGCATTCTGTGTGCGTCCAGCTAGGATCACTGCAGGTAATCCCTGGCCGTCAGCTGTCAGCCTGTCATTGCTTTGTCTGATATTTGTGACGATTCGCACAGCCAGCGATCACCTGTAACGATCATGGTTAGATGCATTCTGTGTGCGTCCAGCTAGGATCACTCTAGGCAGGGGCGGACTGACACAACTCATGGGGCCCCCGGCAATAAGGGGATCATGGGGCCCCTGTGTCCTTGCCCAAACTCAAAAAAGCCTATGAAAAAGGTACCAGGGGCATCTCATGGAGCCCCCTACTGACCTGGGCCCTCGGGCAGTGCCCGAGTTTCCTAAATGGTTAGTCCCCCCTGACTGCAGGTAATCGCTGGCCGGGCAGCTGTCATTGTTTTGTCTGATATTTGTGACGATTCGCACAGCCAGCGATCACCTGTAGCGATTATGGTTTGGATGCATTCTGTGTGCGTCCAGCTAGGATCACTGCAGGTAATCCCTGCTGCCGTCAGCTGTCATGGGGCCTGTTATTTGCTTTTATCTGATATTTGTGACGATTCGCACAGCCAGCGATCACTTGTAGCGATCATGGTTGGATGCATTCTGTGTGCGTCCAGCTAGGATCACTGCAGGTAATCGTGGCCATCAGCCTGTCATTGTTTTGTCTGATATTCAGACTGTCAGAGATGTTCACCTGTAGCGATTGGTTGGATGCATTCTGTGTGCGTCCATTCACTGCAGGTAATCCCTGGCGCACTGTCAGCTGTTATTGCTGATATTCATTGTCACACAGCCAGCGATCACCTGTAGAGATCATGGTTGGATGCATTCTGTGTGCGTCCAGCTAGGATCACTGCAGGTATTTGCTGGCCATCAGCCTGTCATTGTTTTGTCTGATATTCATGACAGGTCACACAGCCAGAGATCAGCCAGAGATCACCTGTAGAGATCATGGTTGGATGCATTCTGTGTGCGTCCAGCTAGGATCACTGCAGGTAATCCCTGGCCGCCAGCTGTCAGCCTGTCATTGTTTGTCTGATATTCATGACGGGTCACACAGCCAGCGATCACCTGTAGCGATCATGGTTGGATGCATTCTGTGTTTCTGCAACCGGAACACACTGGAACTACAAGCACTGATGTGAACTAGGATACTGACAGCCATATAACCAACTTTCTGTGCGTTTTAGATGCAGAAAAAAGCTAATGAAATACATGGTAGTGTGAACTAGCCCTGAATTGTACTGAAGCATAGTAAAATGCACCAAAACGCACTGGAAATCACATGTCCTTATTAAGTTGAAGAAAAAGAAGAAGAAATGAACTGAAACTCATCAAAAAACGCACCAGAACGCAACAAAAACGCACATACAGAAGTGCATCCGGACTGCTTGTCTATAATGTGAACTGGCCCTTAAACCATGTATTTGAGTATAAACGAGCTCTGATTCTGGGCTCACACTGATGCGATGTGGAATTCACACCTCGTTTATGCGAACCGATGCGGGTGTGTATGTTAACGACACCCCGAAATCGATTGATCCTGGGTTCACACTGATGCGGTGCAGAATTTGCATTGGTTTCTGTGTAAATTCAACACCGCATCAGAATCGCACCCAGATCATGCGAACCACTGCGGGTGTGTATGTTAACAACACCCCGAAATCGATTCGCAAAATGTGGCGCGATGTGCAGAATCGGATCGCATAGGATCTAAAGTAGTACATGCATCACTTTTGGTGTGCCTTGTATAGATATCTGTGTCAGATGTCTTGCAAATCGCACCTGAAATCGGCATCTCACCCGACTTTAACCACAAGCCTACCGGGCACTTATACCCCTTCCTGCCCAAGTCAATTTCCAGCTTTCAGCGCTGTCACACTTTGAATGAGAATTGCGCGGTCGAGGTCATGCAACACTGTACCCAAATGAAATTTTTATCATTTTTTGTGACAGATAGAGCTTTATTTTGGTGGTATTTAATCACCTCTGGGGTTTTTCTTTTTTGCTACACAAACCAAAAACCACTGAAAATTTTGAAAAAAAAAAAAGTTTTTTTCTTAGTTCTTGATTTTTCTCCTTCACTGATGTGCGCTAATGAGGGTGCAGTGATGGGCACCGATAGGCTGCACTGATGTGCGCTAATGAGGCTGTAGTGATGGACACTGATAGGTGGCACTGATGTGCGCTAATGAGGCTGTAGTGATGGGCACTGATAGGCTGCACTGATGGACACTATAGGTGGCACTGATGAGGAGGCACTGGTAGGTGGCACTGATGGGCATTGACAAGCATCACTGAAGGGCACTGAAAGGCAGCACTCATATATGGCACTGATAGGCGGCACTGACTGGCACTGTTAGCTGGCACTGACTGGCACTGTTAGGTGGCAGTGATAGGCAGCACTGATGGGCACTGATAGACAGCACTGATGCACACTGATAGGTGGCACAGATGGGCACTGATAGGCGGCACTGACTGGCACTGATATGCGGCACTGACTGGCACTGAAAGGCAGCTCAGATGGGTACTGATATGTGGCATTGATATGGCACTGATAGGCACTGAAATGTGGCACTGGCAGGTGACATGGATGAGCACGGAGAGCTGGCACTGATGAACACTGACAGGTGGCAC